GAACAACTTTCATTGAGCTCTGGAGAGAACAAAAAGGCAGGATTATAAAAGCAAAAACCACAAACTGGAACAAAAGAAACTTTTCCTGTTGGCTACCTAACATGGTGTGATGAGTGGTTCAAAGAGGATTGGTAAGATCCAGGTAATGAAACTTGGAGGTAAGCTTTGACATGGAAACAAGGTGGGGCAAGTTCCAGGATGTGCTAAGGCAAGCGTGAAAGGTCAAATGTTTAAACCTCAGCTGGGTGTGGACATGCGTAAGTCGGACTTCCCTAGTGACCTCTTGATGAATATTAATACTCCGTTTTGGTTCATATATCCATGAAGAAAAATGCTAATATCTAAGTAACCATAATATTTATTGTATTATTGAGGGAAGACATCACTACTCAAGTGTAGCTGAAACAAAGCTGAATTTCATACTTGTTGAGCAAGGGAGAACTGTGTTTGTAGCATAGAGTCCCCCAAATAGGCTGAGATGCACTTAGATAGGATTTAGAGGTTTAGGATTGGCTTTTTTTCAAAAGGGAGACAATTTAAGGCTTGGCTGGCTTTAAACTTGGAAGGGACTGGCTGGCTTTGAGGAGCCAGGGTACTGAAGAGGGGCAGTTCCTAATTGGCTGATTTTCTCAGCTGTGTACTTAAGTGGAAAGGTTGAGTAGAGTTTAAGGATTGATTGATTGGGGCATATTTAATTAAATTAATTAATTAATTTATTTATTTATCCTCACCCGAGGATTTTAGAGAGAGAGGAAGGGGGAGAGAGAGAGAGGAAAGATAAACATTGATGTGAGAGAGCAACATCGATCAGTTGCCTCCCATACACACCCTGACCTGGGATTGAACCCATAACCTAGGTATGTGCCCTGATGGGGAATTGAACCTATAACCTTTTGGTGTATGTCATGATGCTCCAACCAACTGAGCCACCTGGCCAGGGCAATTGGGACATATTTAAAATCAGTTCTGTGGTTACTTGCCCCCAGCTTGGAACAAGAGCCGAAGAATAACCTTTTCCTTTATTGAAGGTAGAAAATAGTACTTTTTATTTTCCACATTTATGTCAAACACTTAAGTCGGCAATTGTGCCATATAATACATTTGATTTTGCTTTTCTTATCAAACAAAACAAAACAAAACAAATTAGTGCAGTGAATATCATTTGTTGTGTACCAGTCTCAGGACTATATGATATTTGGAACACAGGTTGCTTCAGGATTATTTTTATATGCAGTTAAAAAGGTAATGTTATTTTTGAAAATACTTTAATGCGTTAAATATTATGGTGAAAGCTGTGTTACTCTTATGTCTATTTTTCTCACTTGTGGGAGTGTCATATCACATGCCTTCCAAAGTCAATTTTGATGGATGCTGAATTATAGATCTAAAAGTTTGGGTGTTTTTGCTGTTGTTAGAGGTACATGTAGAAGTGATTACTTTTTGAAAGTTAGCTAGCAATTATTCTTATCAACATTTTAGAAGGTTTAATGATTATATTGCATGTCTTTTATATAAGGTAGGCTGAATCATTTTAATGCTTGTGAATCATTTTACCACAGTTGTTATATCATAGTACCATTATATAAAGTATTTTGGTTTAATATTTATTTTAGAAAATTTTATTCTTCAGAATGAAATAAAGACCTGTTTATGACTACTTACCAGAACTTTGACAAAAAGTAGATATTTTTCTAAATTTCTTGCAGTAATATTTTAGTTTTAAAAATATTACTGTAGGTTTAGAAAGGAGGAAGTAGGGGCTGCATATAAACACAACAGCACTCATAATTTAAAAATATTATCAGCTTATTTCAAATGTAAATACAGTATGTATGGAATTTTAAATGATATCTCAATACAAAAAATAAAGTAAAAAACTCATTTTGCCTTCTCTAACTTCAAAGATATAAAGAATACCCTCTGAACTTATTCTAACATCTCCATAGGAAAATATTTTTAAAACTAAATTTCTGTGTTAACTACTAAATGATACTCAAACGTCTTTAACCTCAACATTTAAATTTTATAAATTTATACTTAAATAGGTACTTAAATTTTCTTGGAAAAAGTTGTCTGATGCCTGAATATGGTTACTGGGATTATGTCTGTGTTATCTGTCTACAATATGAAATAGTGGATTTAAAATGTGTTTTTTTCTCTCTGCATATGCAGTGAATGGTTAGGCCCTTATTGCCTAATGATCTGATCAAAAAAGAATCTTAGGGTAGGTGATCTTTTGTAGTAAAATGGAAAAAACAAGGGTTTTTGTGCTCTTCAATAAAAGCTTTAATTCCTAGTCTTTGCTAATATAATGGATGGAAAATGGTATCTCATAGTTTTAATTTGCATTTTTTTGATTACTAGTGAAGCTGGGCTTCTCTTCATTCACTTATTAGCCTTTGTTGAATTTGAATTTCAGGTAGACAACAAATACATTTTTAAAAAGTATATACTTGTAGTAGTTGGAACATACTTATACTAAAAGTTTTTCATTGTTTATCTTTAATTAAAACTTAATGGGGCATCCTGTACTTTATCTGACAACTTTAATTTTACTATCTGTGAATTGTTTGCTTTGTCTCCTCCTAAATTTTCAATTGCATTTCCTGTCTTTTTGTTGTTATTTTTCCAGAGTTCGTGGCATACACTAGATATTAAATCCCTTGTTTTCTGTGTGTTTTTTTAAATGTTGCAAACATATTCTTCCAGTCTTTTCCCTATAGCGACCTTTGTTGAATAACAAGCTTTTAATTTTGATGGAGTCAATTCCATCATAATTTCTCCATATTGGTTATACTTTTGAGGTCTTTCATCACTCAAGGTCACAGATATATTACTCTACTTTTTCTTTCTTTAAGTTCATAGTTTTACCTTTCATAGTTAGATCTTTAATTTGATGTTATTTTATAAGAAGAGTACTAAGAGATGAGGTGAAAGGGGTAATAAGGGGAGCAGATTGCATGAGGATTGTAGGCCCTTGTGGGGACTTTGGTTTTTATGCTAATTAAATAGGAAGCCAGTGAAAGTTTTGCACCCAGGGTGCCACAGACTGAAATATGCTTTTAAAATAACTCTGTTAACTATTGAGAATAGGTTGTGGGAGGTATGGCACAGACTAATTCTTGTGCAGTTATCTAGTTCTTCCTTTTGTTAGTATCAGAACCCCTCTGGTCTAGTTGGGTACATGGCTATGTACTTAGAGACTGTATTTATCAACTTACCCTGCCTATAGGTATTGGCTATATGATAGAAGTTTGGAATTGAATCTGTGGGATATAAGAGGGAGCTGATTGGGAGCCTTAGAAAAGATTAATGGGCAGCAGTGAGCAAAGGCCTACTAAGATGGAAGACCATGTGTGTGCAGAGCCCCCAGTCCATATGGTTGGGGCTTTTTATAGCAGCCATCTTTAGATGGATGGTTGGGGTTCGGGAGTGAAGAAATAGATCCTTAGTTTGGTTTAGGCAGAGGACAAGCTGGCAAGACATTTGAGAGTTTAGGCAAGGGAGTATGCAAAGCTGGATAATCAAATCACAGGTTATAGTAGATAAGAAGTGAAACTTGGGGCATAGTTGATGGGTCAGGAAAAAAATACAGAGGAGTATGGGAAAAAACTGGATACCTAAACATATTTAAGATCAGGTATGGTTTATTCCTTTGTTCATTCAATAAATATTGAGCATTTTTGTTCCAGGTGCTGTTCTTGGTGATGTGGCTACCTAGATAAAAGCAGTGATTAAAACAAAGTCCTGAACTGGTAGATTTTGCTTCTAGTAGGAGGTAGACAACACACATGTAGATGTAGATCTAGAGATACATAGAGATATCTGTGTGTGCGCGCGCGCGCTATGAATAGGAAGAGGCTCTTAGAAGAGATTTCCTCTGAACAGAGACTGGAATGTAGTTAGGACACAGCAGTGAACATGGGTAAGGAAGCAGCATGGCAGAGCCTGGCCAGGAGCTTGCTTGAGGAGCAGCCAGGGTGCTGGGGAGCATCCGTGCAGAGGAGAGTGGTAATTAATGAAGGATGTGATATATTAGGGCCACCATAAAAATTTAAGATTTTATTCAAGTGCCATGGAAAGGCCATCAGAAGGTTTGAATCAGAGGAGTCTTACTTTTCTGATGGTTCACATTGGCTGTTTTGTGGAGAACTGATTGACAATGGGACTTAAGGAATCTAGAAAGCTAGAAGGGTAAGAGATTGTGGCTCGAAAGTAGCATATTGTAGTTTAAGATTTAAGCAGTTGAGTGCTTCTGGGTGAAGGATTTCATTGCTGTCCCTTTAAGCAGACACACCTACTCCACAATAGGCATTCTTTTCTGTGGATAAAGGCCTGGCCCCAGCCCTTGGCTTTCACCACACCCTTTCCTGTTTTTAACTCTGCTCCTCACCAGCTTCATTATTCATTCTCCCATTTGGTCCTCACCTTGTCTTTCAGATCTGATGGGCATTGTTTCTGCTTGGCCAAGACTTCCTCTAAATTTAGCTATTCAGTCCCTTTTCTCTGCAGTCTGAGTTCAGTCTTCAGAAAATTTACATGAAAGCCTAGTATGTAAGACAGGTGAAAGTGAGGGAATTAGAAGTCAGAAGTACAGTGCTCTGCCCATTTATAGCTATTCTCTGATCCCACAGAGCAACCCAGAACACCTCCAGAGAACCCCTCGCCTCCCAGTTCACAATGTGGAGAAGCCCTGCATTGAACTGTGATGCTGCCTTCTTGCAGCAAGCCTTCCCTGGGATCACCTCAGGTGATGCTCCTCTCTCTGCTCAGCCTGTGCCTTCTTAATCCTTAGGCACCTAGCTAGCCAAATGCATCATGCACACCCTCCAGTCACAAAGGAGTAGGCTGAGGGCATTCAGAACCATGAGGTAGGCACAGTGCCTCTTTCTGAGTGTTTGTTTTACTTGCTGGCTGTTATTTAACTTACTAAATTTTCATGGTTAAAATTAATGTAGTTCCAATTATAAGCCATGCATTCGTTCTGTTTGTCCTCAACAAATTCTTATTTTAACCCTAATTAAGAATGTTAAATGTGTTTTATAACAAAAAAACTGGATTTATTATAGCTGAGAATGTAACATTTGTGTAACCTCTTTAGGGAAAAAAGAACAAGAAATATGAAGTTTGTGTGGACCACTTAGGGCTTCAATCTTCTGGGGATTATTCAAACTTTTTGCTCTGCATTAGGAATACTTTGATAAACAAGGTTAGAACTACCTTTGCAACTTTTCAGATTTGTAATTCTCTATTTTTGTTTTTATGTTTAATGGAGTTGTTATAAATTTCTTCAGCACGGGGTAAGAATTGCCCAATATAGACTGAACCTTCAGGTTTTTCAGGTTAAAGGTAAATATGAGTATTATCTTCCTTTAGCCAAGGTTTCATTTTGACAAATATCATTAAAGTAAGCATGCCACATTATGAAAAGGACCTACAACAACCAAGTGTTGCCCTACTAAAGCCAATACTCAAAACAAGGTCACCCTGGACCACAAAATAAGTTTGGTACTTTAGATATTTTTAAAAAGTATATCACTTGCATTAAAATCTGTTATATTTCTTCTGAGTCGAGGGTAGATCTTTTAGCATTAGATAAAAAATTTCTTTGTTTCGACTCTTTGTTATTAAGAAATTGTTTTTGAGCTACAGATTTTGTACATCACTGCTAAATTGTAAGACTAATGAGGACAAGGATTTGGTCATGTTCATTGATGCATCCTGAGCTAAGAATAGTATACAGCCAGCCACATAACACTTAATAACTTTTTTGAGTGAATAAATAAATTATCTTTGATATAGCTGTGGAAATAGTACAGATAACATCAGGGTTGAATAAAGAAGACTTCCTGGGTGTTCTGTCACAATGTTGCTATGGCCTCTTTAAATTAATAAAAATAGGAGCACAACTATAAGCTTTCTTTTGAGTCTGCCAGTTGTCAAGTCTGTTTAATCATATGACATGCCTATTCTGTCTGTGAAATGGGGATAGCAACACAGAATCTGTTTATTGCAAATAGCTGCACTAAGATTAGATGAGAGACATAGAATGGGAGAAAATACATGCAAATCATTTATCTGATAAATTTATTAAAAAAAAAAAACTGTTGCAGGTAATAAAAAAGGACAAATCACCCAATTAAAAAATAGGCAAAGGATCTGAGTAGACATTTTTTCAAAGAAGACTTATAAATGGCTTATAAGCACATGAAATGATGCTCAGCATTAGTCATAGAGGTATGCAAATCAGAACCACAAAAGATAGTACTCACAGTTACCAGTTGGCTATAATCAAAGACAGATAATAACAAGTTGTTAAGGATGCTGATGGGAATGTAAAAGTGGGCAGCTGCTTTGAAAAACAATTTGGCAGTTCTTTAAAAGATTAAAAAATAAAGTTAACACATTTACCCAGCAGTTCCACTCTAGGTATATACCCTAAAGAAATGAAAACATACATACATACAAATAGTTGTACATGAATGTTCATAACAGCATTATTCCTAATAGTTAAAAAGTAGAAGCAACTCAGATGTCATCAGTTGCTGAATGGATAAGCAAATGTGGTATATCCATACAATGGAATATCATTCAGCAATCAAAAGGAATGAAGTGCTGTATGACATATGCTACAACACGGATGAATCTCAAAACTTTATGCTCAGTGAAAGGAGCAAGACAAAAAATGCCATATATTATATGATTCCATTTATATGACATGTCCAGAATAGGCCAATACATAGGGACAGAAAGTAGATTAGTGGGCTTGGAGGGTTGGAGAGGGGTAATGGGGAGTGACTCCTAATGGGTAGGGAGTTTCTTTTTGGGATAATGAAAATGGTCTGAGATTGTGGTGGTTGTTGCAGAACTCTGTGAATATACTAAAACCAATGAATTGTACACTTTAAAAGGGTGAATTGTATGATGTGAATTACATTTCAATAAAGCTGTTAAAAAAGAATAAATGAGGTAATATGTGGGAATATACTTTGAGCTATTTGAGGAGATGCTATTATTATTGTAGTTTGACTGTAAGGCCTTTAAATAGTAGCAGGATGGGTTAGTTATTTTTCCTTGCTTGCAGGCCTGTGATTTTATGCCATGACTCAACTTCATAAGGCTATAACTAAGCACTATAAAATATTGAAAATGTTGGAACATAAAATGAAAACTACATGGTTTATTATTTTTATTTGATAGGATTTTCTGAATCAGTTAATTAGTGATAAGTAGAATGTGTCATTAAGGGATTAGATTTTAGAATCATAAAATTTTAGAACTAGAAGAAACTTTAGAAGTCATCTATTCTAGGCCCCCTCATTTTGTTTGTGAGAGAGCTGAGTCGTACAGAGGTTAAGATATCTTAGGTCACAAAGCTGAGTAAGTTCTAGAACTGAGACAATGTTCTTTCTGTTGACTACAATTGGTTTTGGTGCCTTAATGTATTAGCACTGATAATATTAATAGCAGCTCTTTAAATGTTCCTATGTTCTAGGCGTTTTGTTAGGTACTTTGTATATGTTATCTTGGTTAATCTATACAACAGTTTATGAAAATGATTTATTTTATCTGTGTATTAGTTTCCTATTGCAGCTATAACAAATTAACAAGAACTTCATGACTTAAAACAACAAATTTATTATTTTAGAGTTCTGGAAGTCAGAAGCCCAAAATGGGTCCTAGCAGGGCTGCATTCCTTTCTGGAGGTTTTAGGGGAGATCACTTTTCTTGTCTACTCCAGCTTCTATAGGCTGTCTACATTTCCTTGACTCATGGCCTCCTTCTATCTCAAAGGCAGGTTGAGTCTTTCTCACATGCCATTTCTCTGGTTTTGACTCTTCTGCCTCTCTCTTCTCCCTTAAAGGACCTTTGTGTACTTTAGGCCATCCTGGATAATCTAGGCTACTCCCCTTATTTTAAGGTCAATTAGTTAACAACCTTAATTCTACTTGTAGCCTTAACTCCCCTTTGCCAGGTAACATAAGGGCTTAGGAACTACATATCCTTATAGGGGAGGGCATTATTCTGCCTACCACAATCTGTCAGTTAGATTAAGTGATTTAGGTTCAGAGAGGTTAGGTGAATTGTCCAAGGCCATAACATTAGTAAATGAAAGAGCTGATATTTTAACCCTGTTATCTGTCATGATAACATGGTTTGTTTGTTTTTTCTACAGATGCCATTTGATCAAGTCATGAAAAATAAGTTGAATGGTGAGCAGTGTTCAAATAGTAAATAGCTCTTTCTGTGTTGTTGTTTATTGTGTGGTTATTTATTGATTGATTGATTTTTATTGTTCAAAATATAACAGATGTCCCGACACAAACAGCTCTTTCTTATTAAAGTAAAAATCACATTTACCTAATAATATCAAGAAATAGACTATTTTATTATGGAGCAATTAAAGGCATGGTGGAGAAGTATACTCATTAATATGGGAAAATGTTTATGACTTATCAAGACTTTCAATTAATTAACACCCTCCTCCCATTGCCATTTATTCATTAGTTTCTACCTGTCTTCAGTTCCTTTCTTAGCCAGCCTAGGTGCCCAGTTTAAGTTACTCTGCTGCAAATTCCCTCAATTCCTTTGTACCTCTTTGGTCTCTCCTATCTGGTAAAGCCTCACAACTAGAGCTCAGCTGTCTGCCTGTTGGTTTCTCTTTAAGATATACTCAACAGCCTCAAAATTACTCAACAGTCTTCCCCTGTGTCTCTATTATCTCACTTCCCAGAGCATATCTTCTTCTTTTTTTCAAACCCTACCATTGTTCTGAATGCAGTTGGCTATAGTTGAGCATTGCTTCCTTTCAGGAACACTCTTCCCTTGGCCTTTGGCACACCACCCTTTCCTGGTTTTCCTTTTCTCATTCTGGCTTACCCTTTTCAGTCTTATATGTTAGTTTTTCCACTTTTGTCTGGCTATTGAAAGAGGAATTCCTCAAGGTTTAGTCCTCTTTTTTTTCTTTTCTTCTCACTTTGTTTTTTGGGTTTTAAATATGATCTATTTGAGTAAGTCTCCCATACTTATGTCTCAAGCCCAGGGTTTCTCAACTTTTCTCAATTTTGGATTGGATAATTTGTTGTTGTTGGGGAGGGGATTTGTCCTCCGCATTGAAGGATGTTTAGCAGCATCTCTGGCCTCTACCCACTAGATGCCAGTAGAACACCTCTGTCCCAATGAAAAATATCTCCACAAGTTGCTGAATGTCTCCCTGGGGGTGGGGAATTACCCCCAGTTGAGAACCATTTATGTAGCCTAAAGCTGTCTTCTGAGGATCTAAGGATAATGCCTTTTTGGCAGCTCTACTTGAATGTCTCATAGCATCTCAAATTTAACATAACCAACATGGACTCTTGTTTTTTCTCCCTGATATACTCTTCCTTCAGCTTTCCTCATTTCATATCATTTATGACCTTGTAGGCCATTGGAGATACTTGGCTTTTATTATTATTGAACTAGTGAGCTATCTGGGAGTTTTGGGGCTAAGAAATGATAGGATCTCATGTAGGTTGGCTCTTTGTTGAGAGTAGACTATAGTTGGAAGGTTTTTAAAGCAGGAAAAATAGTTTAGAAACTACTGTGGTGATCCAGGTAAAAAGATAGTAATAGTTTGGACTAGGGTGGTAACAGAAGAGATGGTAAGAAATGTTATCTTTAGTTGAAGCTTTAAATACAAATATTGCTGAAAAGAGAAATGCATTGTATCATCATTAATATTTTAGTGTGATTTGTTTATCAAGTATTTTGTCAGAATTTATAGGAAACAGATTTTGGTGGATCAGAGTGAGAAGAGAGTATCTAAAACCCAGAAACTTGTGGGGGTGTTACTTGAATAAGTGCAGGCCAGAATGGGCAGTAAAATGAGAGACCCCACAGGAGGAGCAAGCAAGACATCCAGTACAGCTAGGTCCACCTCAGTCTTCCCTAGAGCTGGCCCTCCAACTGTAAAACATGTACCTATGGCAGGGTGGATAAGACAAATGAGAGGAGACTTGCCTTCACTAGATATTGGAAGCAACACATTTTGGACTATAGAGCTCTTAGCTGAAGTGAGGTGGTTATTGGCATTTGGATGAGATAAGTTTTTGTTGCACAAGATTGCCCTACAATCTGACAAACATTTATGATCCCTGGTTCTTCACAGATAGCAGTGTGTACTCCCTCATTGTGACATCTAAAAAGTGCCCCTCCCCTCCCATTTCTAAACTCCCATGGGAGTCAGACATGCTCAACTGCAAAACACTTGACTAAGTCCCCTTGCCAGTTTGAAAATTACCTTCCATAACATGAAGTCAAAAAGTTGTCATGCCAGGCCAATTTTTAAAATATATATATTTTCATTGATCTCAGAGAAAGAAAGGGAGAGGGAGAAAGAGAAACAGAAACATCAGTGATGAGAGAGTCATTGATTGGCTGCTTCCTGCACGCCCCCTACTGGGGATCAAGCCTGAAACCCTACGTTCCCTGACCAAGATTCAAACAGCCATCTCCTGGATCATAGGTTGATGCTTAACAGCTGAGCTGCGCCGGCAGGGCCAGACCAATTTTGAGGACATAGAAATCATGGCAGTGAATATTGCCACAATACTTTAAAATTAGCATTGATTTTTATTGCTGATACATCCCTTAACTGTCTTCTGTTCCTAACATGTACCTTAAAACATTAATTTTTAATCCTTCCATAGAGGATGTGGATGTCTCAGGGAAATATCTAAAGATAATGCACTAGACACCAGCTCTGGCTGCTCTCTTCCCAGCATTCTAATGTAAAGGAATTTGAATTAAAATGAATGAGGAGTTTGGATGAAAGGGATTTCCCTAGCTGTATCTTAGCAAAGGGAGTGGGAGTAGAATTGGAAGAGGTAGGTTAATGGCTATAATATGAATGTTTATGTGCATTACTCTTCATTAGGTCTACCTGGTATTAAGAGATAAATAGTTTAAAAATAACATTTTAGAAAAAGTAATAGAAAATCAAATGTAATATTCATCAGATTTGTAAAAGATTGATAACTCAGAATTAGAGCAATGGAAAAAAACTGACCAAAGAAAAGTTCAGCAGTTTTGAATATATAAAATTTAAGATTTATTCATAATGAAAAAATTATACAGCAGCCTGGGGGAAAATGCTTGTATCAAGTGTGATGAAGGGTTAATATCTGTAATACCTGAAGAATTCTCTCAAACTTAATGAGGAAAAAAAAATCAAGATTTAGTACATAAGTGGACAGAGAATTTTAGCAGATGAGTAATAAATAACATTAGTAACAAAAATAGGTAATTAAAGATACATTTTAAGTCCACCTCGAGTTACACCTTCTATTCTCTCAAATGTACTGGAAATTAAAATAACTCCCAATTCTGGTGAGGTTTTAAGGAATTGGGGCCAAACATTCTTATTTGTTTCTTATGCTGCAGCTACTCCCAGCCACTGCCTTTCCCCAAACATGTTGTGTCATTTCAGATTCTCATGCCTTGTCACATTTCATCTTCCCCCTCTTACTCCTGACCTCCTTTTGACTTCTCATCCCTTGAGAGCAGCAATCAGATGGGAGGGAGCATCTCACCCAACTCAGCTCTGCTGGTGAGCCACCCTCTGATTTGTGCTCAGCACTACACTGCAGTCCTGGGTGTATGAATCAACTCCTGCCACTTGACTGGGGATTCTTCAGGTTAGGAGTGGTCAGTTGTGCCTTAGTAGTTGTTCAATAAATGTTGAATAAATTATTGAAATTTGGTGATGTTTTAATGAACTATGTTATGTCAAGATGAAAGAATAACATGGTCACTGAAAGTATAATTATGAGTGTAATTTATGGCAAAATTTTGGAACCAAACAAAAAATGGTATGTTTACTGTGATTTGAACCATATTTGAAAAGTTGTATGCAAAATGAAATTGTAAAGATTTTAAATTGTAGATAATTTTTTCCGTATTAAATAAGAAAACTTTTAAATCTTTATGATAAAATGTATAATTTAAAAAATTAGCTCTCAGACTTAACCTCCCCAATCCTCATCAAAGCTAAATGCTCTTCATCCTGTCCAATTATCTGATTTAACTATGTGGGCCTCCACAAAGTGTGGGTTCATAAGGATAGTTGCACTTATGTGAATATGAATTAGGTGTCTGAACTTTTACTGTGCCTGGAGTATATAGCTTGAGGTATTTATTTTTTGCTTTATATTCTAAATGGTTCTATCTTATAGGTATATGGTACTTAGTATTTTGTAGTTTATAAATGTGTTCACATTATCAGTCATAAGTTCTTCAGCTTTAGATGATGTTAGGTATAAATGGTAGTTGACTTCTTTCAACATTTTTTGAGTGTGTAGCATCTGCCAGTGGTTGAGATGCAGAATGCCTTTAAGGAAATCCTTTTCTGGCAGGGAAGATAGACAGCCATGATCAGCAATAAACAAAATGCAGTGGGAGGGCAAAGCAGTTATTTACAAAGGGGACTGTTGAGATAAGATGATTGTTCTCCAGTGAGATGACTCTTGAGCAGGCAGAAGAGGAGCAGATTTTGGCAAATGGAGGAAAAAAGAGAAAAACATGAGTAGAAAGGTGGAGGTGTGGAAGTACATGGTCTGTTCAGAAGCCGCTGAAAGACTTTAGACTGTTATGACATGATCAGATTTGTATTTTGGAAAGAAAATGAAGGTCAGTATAGAGAATAACTATAATGAAGAGACACAAAAAGAATGGTTCTCAGTCTCTTTGCTTTTATTTTTGCATGCTTTCCCATGTCACACTTATGTAAGCATCCCTAGATTCTGCATTGTAACATAGATAAGATGAGCTTTATGTTATGCATAGTCCTAGCCAGCTAACCATATGGCCTCTCTTAATATTCATATCTATACAACAGAATATCTCTTCTGAAATGTTCTAGACAAGAGGAATATAGTCAATAATATTGTTATAACTATGTACAGTACTAGGTGGGTACTTAAAATATCAGGGAGATCACTTTGTAAAGTATATGATTGTCTAACCACTATGCTGTACACCTGGAACTAATACAAAATAGTATTGAATGTAAACTGAAATTGAAAAATTAAAAAAGATGTGATTGCTTAAATTAGAGCAATGATAACAGCCATAAATGGAATATATTTGAGACATTTTCTTGTGTAGAGTTGGTGGCTGAGTTGATGTGTGGTGGTAGGGGAAAAAGGAATTATAGATCATAGTTTCTCAAATTTTAATGTGCCAATGAATTGCCTGGGGATTTTTGTTAAAAGGTAGATTCTGATTCAGTAGATCTGGGGAGGGGCCAGAGATACTCTGTTTCTAATAAGATTCCAGAAGATGAATACCACTGTTGGTTCACGGAACAATTCTTTAAGAAGCAAGGGTGAGATAGCTTGAGTGTCAGGCTCCAGTGACTAGATGGTGCTGTAATTATTTGAAATGGGGAACACAGGAGAAAAGAAAGGTTGGGGAGGATCTGGGGAGGGAGTGAAGTCCTTGTGGGACATTCAGGTAGGAAATTGTAGATGGCTAGAAATTTGGCTCTTCACTCAAGAAAGAAATCAGGCCTTGGATACAAATTGGGGGATCAGCATTTCATTGATTATAGTAAAAGCCATGAGAATAAGTGATGTTACCACAGTAAAGAGATAAAGAGCTATTAGAAAATATACTTATTTCTGTTTGCTAGAATTTTAACGTTCTATTTAACTTACTTTATAAACTACCAATGAGGAAGAAATTGGATAAGTAGCCTCCTCTGTGCAAATAATCTGTAGGTATAAATTCAGGAGTGGAAAAATTTTTTTTGGAAAACCCCTTTATTCCTTGGTAATGACCATAAATCAGCTTAAATATTCCATAGGTCAGGTTTAAATGCATTAAAGTACCTTCTCTTATGAAAATTTATTCATACAAACAAATATGTACTAAACATCTTTAAAATAACAGCAACTCTTCTAAGCTCTGGGGTTAAACTAAAAGGAAACAAAATGTAGACCTGATATGATGGAGATTATGTAGTGTTGGTGAAGTGTAGCAGGGATGCATATGACTCAGTGTGTGGACAAGGAACAGCCTTCTTGAGGAAGCATTCAAACTAACACTAAAAGGCTGAGTGGAGGTAACCTAGAAGAGGACAGGAAGCAGTGACTTGGAGGGGAGAAGGCCCTGCAGGTTGACTAATGGCAGTGTGACTGACCCACGGAATGTAGGGAGTGGAGAGTAAGGAGAGATGATTTTGGCAAGGTGAATGGAGGCCATGACTAGGCCAGTTTCTCTGGGACTTGGTAGAAGATGGAGGGAGAAAATGTGTTTTCCAAAGGAACAGGTGTTATTTTACCTGGATATAGTTCAAACAGTAGTCTTAAGCATATGGTTTTTATGGACTGGCCTTGTAATGGAATTACTTATAGTAAAATTGATTCTATAGGAAAAATGTTTCGGACTTCAAAAACTGTTTTACAATTTAATTTTCAAAAAACGTTTTTCACCGTTTGGGGATTGCTTGGACAGGCACACAGTTCTAGTGCTTTATGTTATTTGTGCTCAAATCATGCTTACTCTAGTGTTTATATGACTATAGTGTTGATTTTCCACCTTCTGATATGAATCAAAGATATCATTTCACAGATGTGATTGAAAGTTATTTTCTTTTCTTAAACAGATTTAGAAAATATATAGAAATATAAGTAGAAATCTTTTAAAAATTGTTTGGTGTTCAGAGTGGCTGTTTTTTAAAAGTTAAGGATTTCCTCTGTAAACTATATTGTGGTAAAGTGTTATATACTATGAAAGTATGAAAAATGAAACTGACATGAAAATTGTTATAAACAAAGTAAAATAGATTGGTATGGTTTCACTACTGAAGTCAAATGGAATGTAGAAGGTAAACAATACAAGGATAAAATGCCTAGATTTTAAAATACTTTAATAACCACAAGTTTATCATTTCCTCCTTCTCTTCTCCTCCTCCTCTTTTTCCTCTTCTCCTCTTCCTCCTCTTCCCCTCTTCCCCCTCTTCTCCTCTTCCTCCGTCTCCTCTCCTCCTTCTTCTCCTCCTCTTCTTACTCCTCTTAATTTTCAAAAAATGTTTTTCACCGTTATTACTAGCTAGTTATCATTAGAAATATTGATTTTTTTTAAAGCAGAAAAGAGCTTTTATGAGCTACATTTTATTTAATAAATGAAACTTGAGGCTGGAACTTCCTCAAATTTCCATATTTCCATGTGTTCAACAGGCAAAGTTAATTTCATCCACACCTATCTCAGTGAAATTTTCATTCTATATCAGTTAGAATGCTTTTAGCTGACAAGTAACAGAAGACCTGACTGAAAATGGCGGTTTATTTGGTGCTTGCCAACCCCCCTCCAGAATATGATTTCTTTGAGGACAAAGATTGTACTTTTCATCTGTTTCCTAATATGTATACTGCCTAACTGAATAATTGCTAAATAAATGTTTGTCAAGTATTGAATGTTAAGGACTATTTTCAGTGACAAAACTGGCCATAACCAAATCTGGAGAATTTAGCACTAGGAAACAATTTGAAGGGTGGCAGAAACACACATTAGACTTTATATCTAGTTGGATTTGTTCAAGATTCTGGTGGAATTAGTGGTTCCAGACTCTAAGACAGAGCAAGGATGAGGGTTGGTAATATATTGTAGAACTCACATGAGTGATATTCTAATTAGTTTGCCATTTTCATGTCCTTGAGAGTTTGGATGAAATCTGGAAATATGACTGCTGTTACAAGTTCTTTGGCATATTAAGAACTCTCTCTAGTAAGATGAAAACATCTGATTTCAAACTTTTCTGAGATATAAATATGTTTTGTTTTTTTTTTTAATATATATCTTTATTGATTTCAGAGAGAGGAAAGGAGAGGGAGAGAGAGAGAGAAACATCAGTGATGAGAGAGTCATTGATCGGCTGCAGCCCGCAACCCGGGCATGTGTCCTGACCGGGAATCGAACCCCGATCGCCTGGATCCTAGGTCGATGCTCAACTGCTGAGCCACGCCCGGCCGGGCAATATGTTCATTTAATAAAAAGATGATAGGCCCTGTTTATTTCATTGAACTTTGAGAAGTTTATGCAAACTTAAAAACAAATGGTAGTTGTCACAAAGCTGCTGTCTCTGTTGTAGGTACATTTTATTTTTAGTATTTTAAAGGTTAGCCTATTTATTTTTCTGACAAAGATTTCATAGTAGTTGTATACTGTAAACCTGCCATTGTCCATGAGGTAGCCACCAGCCCATATGGCTATTTAATAAGTTAGTTAGAATTAAATGAAAAATTAACTTTCTCAAATATGCTAGCCACATTTCAAGAGCTCATATTGGACAGTACAGATATATTTTTATCATTATCTTAAAAATAAGTTAGTCCAATGATTATTAGCATATAATCTCAAATTCCTTTTTTAAAAAAATCCAAAATGTCCCTTTTAAAGGTGATTTTGTTATGTAATAAAATGCAGGTATAGGAAAACACTCAAATATATGGTTTAGTGAATTACTATAATGCCAGTAACATACACGTCAAGAGATGGAACTGTCAGTCACCGTTGGAATTCTTCCCGGTGTCTCTGTCAATCACAACC